GTATAGTTTTGGTTTTATTAATACAATGATATTTAGAAGGTTCCTCGATGTATATCATTTTGAGTCGGAAGTGAGGCTATGGTCATAGTCATGTGTAGTCCCTTGAATATACTGCCTTTTAAGTCCTAACTAAAGATAATTAAAATATATATACATATATAAAAATATATAGAATATAGAAATAGAATCATAATCATAACCAATCTATAGAAGAAATTTAAAAAAAAAAGAAGCTTTCAACTAAATGACACTATATGGGGGGGGGGGGGGTGCTGCCTACACATTTATCCGACACTCGCCCCCTCCTTCAGATCCTAGCTCTCTCATCCCCCTTAAGACCTGAATGATTACTCTTCTTTACACGCTTCAATAAGGCCATCCGACTGCAAGCTCGCAGACCCGTCGATGGCCAATTGGTCTACTTTCTCTTTCTCGCGTGAGATCCTTTTGCCATCATGGGGAATGTTGCCAGCCGCCTTGACGATGCGGGGAACTTGTTTTTCAAAGATCAGAATCGCTGTAAGTTAAAAACATCGCTGAAACTCTTGTCTCTTGACTGATGAAATCTCTGTTAGTTTCCATCGCATCCGTCACGATAAGCAACCCGCGACGTCGTCTTTTGACTCTATCCCCCAACGCGTTCCCTGCGGCGAGGTTCGTAGCCAAGCGCGATGCCGGCGACGATACTCCGATCGAATATATTCAGGTACACAGTTCCTAAACATCCTGGATGTATGGGATCATCTAGCTAACAAGACCCATCCCACAGGACCCCGACACTCCCTCCGCCGCTCCGACTCCGACGTTCATGCTACGGCTATCGAACGACGAGGAGCTGATCTTCAAATTCACATTTATCATTCGTCAGACACAAACCGGCAATGCTTCAAACTCCGTCAATGGTGTCTCAACGACTATGCCCGAGGTGGCAGACACTAGTCTTACGGGCCTCACATTCGCTCACGCATCCAACTCGAAGGAACTGGATAATCTGATCACTAGGGAGTTCCATGCGAACCCTAACCTTCAGAATAATTCTAACGTTCAGCTGATCGGTGATTACTCTACTGGGGGTAACCCGTCCGTGTCGTTCGAATGGTCATGGAGATGGAAGCCTCCAAAGGCAACAGAGGACAAAGGTGGCGGCTGGCGCAACAGCTGCAGCTTCTTGGATTACGACCAAAGAACAAACCGCCTCAATACCCTCGCCCATTTTTCCTTCTGGGTGTACAACTCCAATCGTCCCTTGCCAAGTCCTCAAATCTCATCACCAAACCTGGAGTTGCCCACTTTCCCGCGCTCTCGTATTTCATCGACTCAGTCTGTCCTATCTTACTATAGTGATGCCGAATCCACCCACCCGAATCCCTCCACTGTTCCGCCGGAGCCAGCGGAAAAGTCCCTCCCCCCTCCTCCGCCGTCTGTGCCTCCTCCCCCACCCCCAGCCAAGGTGGACCTCCCTCATTCACGGGCAGGCGATGAGATGAGCGGAGTGGAGGATGGACCTTTGTTTCGAGCGACCATGAAAGCGCTAGAGTCGAAGACGAGCAACATGCGAAGCAAAATCAAAAAAGTGCTCAAGAAAGCCGAGAGCGCGCAGCTAGCGCAAGCCAGTTGCAATGAGGCCATGGAGGCGTTCATAGGCTCGTTGAACGATGCGTCTACGTCCAATGCGAATGCCATTCAGCCTGCGTTGGATCATTATTTTGAGAAGATCGCTCGCCAGATTTTGAACTACGAGCAGCTCAACACGGTGCAACTTCAGAAGCTTGTCATTGATCCTCTGGTTAAGTTATACAATAACGACATTAAACAAGCAGAAGCCAAAAAGAAGGAGTGGGATGAAGAGAGCCGCGACTATTACGCATACGTCAGTCGGTATCTGGGCCAGCGACAGGATTCGCTGAAAGAGAAGAAGCGTGCCGAGAGCGATTCAAAGTATCAAGTCAAACGCCGGAATTTCGAACTGAGGCGATTTGATTACTCCTCGTTTATGCAAGACCTCCACGGAGGTCGCAAAGAACAAGAGGTTCTCTCGCATCTTACCAAGTATGCAAGTTGCCAGGCCAAGAATTTCCTGTCAGCCGCCAAAAATGTTGAAGGAATGACCCCGCAACTGGATGCCCTAATCCACGAGGTAGATCAGGCCGACAAGGAGTTCCAATTCCAGCGTACAGAACGCGAAGAGAAACGCCGGGCTCTGGAAAATGGCAGTAACCCATATCTTGAGCCCGACGTAGTGGCCAGTGCGACGAGTGTACCTAGTATCTCTTCCGGGACTGTCAACAGTGGTCCTTCTGCCGAGGTCGAGCTTGGTCGAGCTGATAGCACTGGCTCCCAGCTTCGCGGGGTCATTAGCAACACCTCATCAGTTTCGTCCCAAGCAAATGCAGGACCGGTTGCATCGGCCACAGGGATCAGTGCACCCACGTCAAACCCGACGGCGGTTAGCACCGCGGGCCAGAATCGCTTCAAGGGTATTCGAGATCTGGAGGAACAGAACAGTCTTGGATCTGATCGAAGCAGTGGCCAACAGCGGAAGGAAGGCCTCCTGTGGGCACTGTCCCGTCCGGGATCTCACATTGACCCCAAGGGGATCAACAAACAGGCATGGCACAAGTAAGTATAAAGCGCATGAATGGTTGACCCAACTTCTAACTTTGTCAGGTTTTGGATTGTCTTGGATCAAGGAAAATTATCCGAGTATAGCAACTGGAAACAAAAGCTGGACCTCCACATGGACCCCATTGATCTGCGCATGGCGTCCGTCCGTGAAGCTCGAAACGCAGAACGAAGGTTCTGCTTCGAAGTGATTACACCCCAGTTCAAACGTATTTACCAAGCCACGTCCGAGGACGACATGTCCAATTGGATCCGGTCTATCAACAACGCACTGCAGAGCGCGGTCGAAGGCCAAGAGACCCCACCTCCCTCTGCATCTAGGAATGATAGGCCGAGCAGTCGTGATATCGGTTCCGCTCTAACAGGGAAAAGCTCATCTGTGTCTGGCCACCACTCCTATTCCTCCTCTAGCTCAGGCAACAACGCTGGCGTCATTCGCCGAACAACAGTCGGTGCGCGCCCGGGCTATGTCCGCCATGATAGCAACAACTTTGAAGAAAATCCCGCAAAACTTCTGCAGGTTGTACGGGATGCGGATCAAGGCAACAACTGGTGTGCCGATTGTGGATCATCGTCCAAGGTTGAGTGGGTGTCCATCAACCTCGGAATCATTCTCTGCATCGAATGTAGTGGAATTCACCGCTCTCTGGGCACGCATATCTCTAAGATACGCTCTCTCACACTGGATGTACATTCCTTCTCGAACGATATCGTCGAGATTCTCCTACAGATCGGCAATCGCGTCAGCAACATGATTTGGGAGGCGAACCTGGATCAAACACTCAAGCCGAGCGCCAGTTCTACACGAGAGCAGCGGTTGAAATTCATCACGGCCAAATATGTTGACCAAGCCTACGTTGAACATCTGCCTTCACCACATTCTCGCTTTGCGACACCTGATGAAACACTTTTGACGTCAATCAAAAAGAACGACATCCAAGGCGTCCTCTACGGCCTGGCCCTGCGTGCCAACGTAAACATCACCGATCGCTCCCGCAACACACATGCGACCTTCCTTGCCCTCGCCGCAGCCGATCCTGCGTCCCCGGGCTCCCCGCCGACCACTCTCGCCGCCAGATCTAGCGCCAAGGCCATTCCGTTCCCTATCGCTGAGCTGCTCGTTCAAAACGGCGCCGAGATCCCGCCACAACCCCCCTCCATCCCTCTATCCCCCGCAGCCAAGCTCTACCTCAGCCAACGGACGGCCCGCCCATCTGCCTTCAGCGTGCCTCCACCGCCGCTCGGTGGAAAGTCCTCTGCAAACGATACCCTGGGCTCTCTGCCAACTATCCGCAGCAAGGAATCTTCCTCTTCGTCCAACGCTCCAACTCTCGCGGATAGCAAAGACAAAGACAGAGAGAAGCTCTCTAAACGAGGAAGCGCTGGCGCCCGCTTTGCGGGAAAAGTGGCTTCACTTGGAATTGATCGATAAAAGGGCTTCTCCTCCCGCGCTTTCATCTTGTCTATATTCCCCCGTCTAGCACATCAGCGCTGCCCATAATCGTAATTATATCAGTGTTTAATGAGATTCCGCATGAAAATTCCCCTCTTGATGACTTTTTTTTTATTTTCCTTTCGCTCTTTGGTTTCTGTCTCTGGTCAGAATCTTTCCCTCCCCCCACTCTTTGGCCCTAACTTCTATGAGGGCCAAACGGGGGGGATGTCCTTTCTTTTTTCACTTCTTCGTGTCAATTCTTGATACTAGCATATCGATCCTGTTTTTGGATGGTTGCTCGCCACTTTTATGTTCTTATGGTCTTTCTAGGACAGATTCAAATATGGGTCGGGTCTGTTGCCTTTACCCTGCGTTCTGATTATTTTGTTATTATCACATGTAGTTGTGCTCTGGTGTATATGTCCGAGGTTCTGGGCGACTTGTACTTATCGAGCTTTGGAATCAACTATCGCAGTAATACATCATGATAGTCATCAAGTCCTTGAATGGGTTATCTCCAGCATATATCGAATGGACCTAGTTGACATTTACTTGTTTCCTTTCTTTTTTTTTTTCGACTCTGTCATCCACTTTCCCATATCAAAATATCTATAAACAGACCGATCCACTGGATACTGAACGAAGTTGCCTGACAGTGGCAACACCACTACGCCCATGCATCCACACTGACTCCAGCAGCTGACGATCCCAACGATCGTAGAGCTAGAACAACGGCGATGCTGTGGGGCTGTGGCGTCTAGCGGTGGCCAAGGATGGAAGAACCTGCAGTTTTCTAAATGAAGATAGAAGTGTGTATATTGTACGGAGTCCTGGGTATGGATCTAGACGTGACTCTGAAGGGTCGATCCATTGTGTGCAACACAGTATGACCTCGGAGATACCCTGCCGATTCTTACAGTGATTGGGGGCCATGTTGAGTATTATGGCAGGAAGCCACAGCCATGCAGCCACCGATGATAAAGGCTGCTTGGAGGTGGAGTGGTTCATTATGGCACCATCCACATATTTCATGCTGATGGTCCATACAATTTCAGATTCCTACGTCAACGCCTCTTTCGTGGGTGGAGTCTGCCAGTATTGGGTATGTGACGCATGTCTCCAGTGTAATTGGTACTATCTTTAGCTCACAAGTGTGGTCTTAGTTTCTGTTTCTGTGAACGGAGTTTACAGACCAATATAGAGTGATATAGAGTGATATAGAGTGATATGGAAGATGGATGGGATCATACATGACGTCAGGGATCCAGAGTGGCGCCTAAGGTGTTAAGGTGGCGTCTACCCACAGGAGAAAACACTCGACACTTCGAGAAGCCATTCACCCTGATCGCCGATTGGCCTTGACTACATGAAGTAATGCAACTATTTCCACTTTTGCAAGAGCTTACATCGTTGCGTCAGTGGCCACGTATATACAAAGTATTTGTGTATTATTGTAAGGAGTTCCTGTCGGTAAAGATTTGGGTTACAGTCCGATTGGTGTATATTTTAATGTGGACGAGGCAAAGAGGAATATATATAAATTAGTCAGCTGATCCGGAGAAATAGTCCAACAGTTGATATCAAAACATCGATATAATCCATATGTTTAACATACAGATCTATCTCATTTCCTATTTCCCTGGTCCTAATGTCACCAGGTGACATTCTCGGGTCAATCGGTTGCAACGTACTTTTACACCGATGTCCTTGAAGATATTCCGTACTACCCACTGAGATTCAATGTCTTCAGAGTCACTGTGCTGTTTCTAATCTCGCTGATTGGTTTAAGAGCCGCCTTGTGGATATATGTCTAGGTTCTTCCAGGTACACATGTGAAAAGGGGAAAGTATTGTGTCTCTAAGACAATGTGCCTAGGTAGTTTCTTATACCTGGAATGTCAACCTTTGATTGGCTGGCATCAGATGCCGGATAAAAGGTGGATCCAGCTTCACCTCGCTTTTTGTCCCGTTTTGTCCCTTTTTCTCTCTTGTTCTTTTTTTTTTTTTTTCAATTGGTTAGGGAAATGGATTCCCCCTGGATATTCTTTATGTTTACTTTTTTTTTTCCCATCAAGCTCCCCCCACACTCGAAGGTATCCACGGCATATACTTTGCAGCCAATGCTACCTACTATATTAGGGCTTGTCCCCATATTGTGTTCTGTAACACATGTTCCTCTAAAATGAGCTCCCGGATGCAATCTATAAAACATCTCAAAGAGAAACATCTGGAATATCCATTGGTGGGATCGTGATCGAGGGTATCTAGAACAGCTTTTCTACCGGTATGAAACGCCGTCGGATCCAAAGCCTCATTTTGTCCTTAGATAGGCGCCTTACCGTTGTACAGGCTTATACCCTGTTCTCATTGGGGGTTTTCATTTCGGCTCTTTTCCTACTTTTCCTACTTTTCCTGGTCCTTTGGGATATCTCCCTAGTGGCAAATCTGTGTCTTCAACTTGGTCTAGACTCCAAGAGGCTCGGGCAAGTCATTCCAATTCTGTTGGACCCGCCTAGATACCCATCACAGCACACGCCAAAAAAAAAAAGGGAAAAAAAGAGGGAAAAAAAAAAGATTGCTCGATCTGCACCTGTTCGCAGGGCATAAATGACATAGGCCCAGACTATATTTTTTATTTGCCCGAGAAGAATCCCGAATCTCTTAGACCCTGTCACCAAAGCCAGAAAGAGGTCTACTTCAGTATATAAAACTGTGGTATACAGTCCCGAACCCATCCCGCTTTTTCTTATTTTTCTTTTTTATATCTTTTTATATACTTCCAAGATTCTATTGACATAGCTTGCCAAGATAGTTGATTCGCTTCAATTCCCCCGGACCTAGGACCCTCTTGAATATGTACATTTATTTCCCTTTGGGCTCTCTTTTTCCTGTATATCTGACAGTCTTCTTCCAGACTATTTTAGCTTCGACTCTTCTCAAATGCCTAATCACTTTCTCTCTTTGTCTACAGTAACACAACGCCTTTTGAAGCAACTAGGTATGTCATCTTTTTTTTCTTCTACCTTTTTTTTTGTAGTTTCATATTCTCTTGATCTGGTAGTTCCTGGCATGGCATTTACATTTCTTCCCTGGCATATCTTGATTTGCAGATATTAGCCTTAAGCTTCCCCTATCTCTTATGCCTAACCCGTTTCTCTCTATAATTCCTGCATCTCTTTTCCATTGTCCCACCTACTTCAATTTTTTGTGAAGCTTGGGCTTATGATCTAAAAGGAGGGGGGTTAGTGCGTGTTTCTGCGCTGGTTTTTCCTCTTTTTCTCCCCTTTCACTTTCCTGAACTTCCTCGATTTCTCTCTCTCTTCCCCCCCCTCCCCTTTGGCACACATTCGATCTATATCTCGGAACTGACTTACTTGCATAGCTTGAGTTTCGATTCTGAATCTGATCTTTGCGCGATCTGCTACGCTCTATTCTACTTCTTTTCTATCGTGCACTGGACAAGTCTGACTTGCTGTGGAATTGCTAGAACAGTGGCCTCGAGCTATTGACTTGACAGGTACGGAAGGTCTCGAGTAAGATATGTCCATTTTCTACAGACACTAAACTCTATAAAGTAGTGGCAAAAAGGTGCAATTGAAAGATTCATCAACGGCCCCATGGACAATGTTCCACCAGAAAAGACAGCCGACAGGACAGCCCCGGTATCAGAACGAGGTTAGTCCTGTAAAAACCCATCGCAAGGCTTTTTCTATTGACTATATCTCTTCTCAGGTGTATCTCCTGCTTCAGCGCGACCCAGTGTCAGACACCATTCCAGCTTCGCAGAGGCTCGATATGGAACCGCCTCTTCTCCCTTGAATATGAGCATGGGATATCCCCTCCCAGGCCATCATGCGCAAGGCTCCCCATATGATCAGCCGATGCATCAATATCCGGCAGCCCATGGGCAAGGCACGATGTATCCCATGCCAATGCCTCCATATGGACACAATGGTATGGCCTACGGAATGCCTTACCCAGCTTATCCGCCGTATGCGATCCCTCAACATGGAACTCATTACCAGCATGCAACTCATATGCCAAACCTCAGTCCCGGGCAAGTATCTCCATATGCCTCGGGCTTTTACCCTCATTCACCATACGGTAACCCCTATGGACCTGGAGTACCTGCCGGCCAAATGCCCCAGGCGGCATCTCCAATTCGTACCAACTCGAGCTCGCCATCGAAACCAGGCTCTTTGCGCAAAGAAGCCGATAAAAGAATGGCAGAATTGGAATACGACGTCTCAAAGACCATCGTGGATGGATCGAATCCCATGAAATTAGTGTCCCACCCGCTTCTCTCCGGTGAGCCTTTTGTTGTTCTTTTCGGATCGCTCGTTTTTGGAACCGTTACTAACCTACGATTCATTCCAAGATAATACTCCCCCTTCGCAATCAACCCCGACCGCTCCGAATACCCCACGAGGACCGCCCCGGAAGCCCAAGCAATCTGGCCACGCGCTCTGGGTCGGAAATCTCCCCCCAGGAGCCAACGTCGTGGATCTCAAGGATCACTTTTCACAAGATGCCACAAACGACATCGAGAGTGTGTTCCTAATCTCCAAGAGTAATTGTGCGTTTGTGAATTATAAGTCGGCTGCCGCCTGTGTCGCCGCGTTGGCGAGATTCCACGACTCCCGGTTCCAGGGTGTGCGTGTTGTCTGCCGATTGCGAAAGGGGTTCACTGCTCCGGGGTCCGGATCTGTAAGTGTAGCAGGCCCTGTGGCGAATGCTCTTCGACCACGATTGGAGGAGGTTGCTACAACCACAGCTCCTGCTACGGCTACTACGGACCCAGGGGAGGAACATTCAACGGATCTCAGCTCGGCTGCGCCCGCTACGGGGAACTACCCGCCCCCGGCCCGGCTGGTAGATCGGTACTTTATTGTTAAAAGCTTGACGGTGGAGGATCTCGAGTTGAGCAAGCAAAGTGGCATTTGGGCTACGCAGTCGCACAACGAGGCGGCGATGAATCAGGCTTTTGAGGTGAGTATAGACATGTAGTCCATGACCGAAACTGACCATTGCCCCCAGACCACCGATTACGTCTATTTAATCTTTTCCGCCAACAAATCAGGCGAGTATTTTGGATACGCGCATATGATGTCACCAATCAGCGACGACGAAGAACTCGCCTTGGAGATGCCCTCCCGGCCCGATCCTCCGCCCGGGCCCGACGACCTCGACGTGACCCTGACAGCGGCCACCTCGACAGCTCCCCATGGCCGAATCATTGATGATTCGGTACGGGGTACTATCTTTTGGGAAGTTGAGTCATCGGAAGATGAGAATGACGCCAGCGAGAAGAGCGAGAAGAGTGAGATTGTGGAAAAGAACGTCGAACCCGAGGATCCGGAAGAGGGCCAAACCTTTGGTAAACCGTTCCGCATCCAATGGATTTCAACGGAGCGAGTGCCCTTTCAGCGCACTCGTGGCCTCCGTAACCCTTGGAATGCGAATCGGGAGATCAAGATCGCTCGTGATGGTACTGAAATCGAGCCGACGATTGGCCGAAAGCTGATTCAGTTATTTCACTTGCCTTCTGGTTCCCTAATTTCCTGACTTAGGAATGATCGACTCTCTTGAATCAGGCCAGTTTCCCTATAATGGCAGATAGAGGGACCCAAAAGGATCGGAATTTCTGGTTCGGTGTCCAGAAATTCCGTATAAAACTTTTTACACTTTATGGGAAACGAGCAATACACGATGTACGTTATATTTTCATACCCTCTGGCGAACTTCCCCTCTTTTTTTTTTGCCTGCAGGGATTGGCGTTTTGCAACCCCCCTTCTGTAAACGGTTGTAAAATCCATTTGTGTGAAGTGACATCTGGCGAACAATATATATGGTATGTGCCGATATGGAAGACTCCAAAATGGCAAAAACCCACTTGAATCTGGACATCGATGAGATGACTAACTGCACTTTTGTCACATGATTGGGTAACATACCATGTAATCGATGTATTCGACATGAAGTCATATATTAGAGCCCTTATATAGCCTTGGATAGCCTTCGATAAGCTTATAGTGTACTATCTCTCAATCATTCAACTATTCAATCAGACTTATATAAACTAAAATGAGAATGAATGATATACCAATGAGAATCCTTTTTAACCCAAATATGTAGATGACATCACGTGGACACTCCACTTAGCGCCACTTTCCCCAGATAATGTGATGCTTAGCTTCCTTCTACCGAACCTCTATTTCCCACTTTCCTCTCTTCTGTTTTTCTCTTCTCTCTTTCTAACCTCTTAACTTCTAACTCTCTCTCTACACACTTCTCTCTTCTTCTTTGGTCCTTTTCAATATTTCAATTCCTGAAAACCTCCCCCCCCCCACCATTCCTACCTTCTTCCAAGTTGAGATCATACCACTCTCCTTGGATCTTGCTCTATTCTTCAATCTTCTATTCCATAAGGGCGGCTAGTCCGTCCGAAACCTCCTGCTCTCAGTTCAGACCCCCTTTCATCTGACAATGTCTAATGATCGCACTTCCCCCATCTCGGTCCCAAATGCAGAGAACCGTCCACGTCGTGGTTCCATCGCCGACATCTTCTCCAGGCCGAGCAACCCATCCAACACCCAGGCTACAACCCAACCATCCAACCAACGTCGGCTGTCAATTACCACGTTAGGCCTCTCCGGTTCCCCCACCCAGACGTCCGCCTTTGGTGGAAACCGCAACTTCCGTCGAGGTAGCCTATCTAGCTCAATGGGCTCCAATGTCCCAGCCGAAGATACCCTCGAGGACGAGCAAGGAACAGGAACCTCGCCCAACTCGCAGTTTGGGAGACGCGTCTCCTTTGGTGCACAGGCCCTGCGTGATGCTCGTGCAGGAAGCTTAGGCAATGGTAGAAATTACCCCCCTCCATCTGCTGTAGGCCCGCGCCGTTCCCCTCCGGCCGGCTCAGCCCTCGCTGCTACCCGATCTTCCGCAAGTACTTCAACGTCTCCTCTGGATGAGAGATCTAACGCATCACGCCGACCCTTAGGCGAAGGCTTTAACTGGTCAGAGGCCCTCCGCTCTCGTGCCGAGCGTGCCCCTTCCATCGGCGGTCCTGTGTCCCCACAAGCAGCCCAGCGTTCCGGTCACCACCAGCGTGCCGCTTCCATCGCGTCCATGGAACAGCCTAGCCGGGAAATGCCCCGTCAGCCTAAGCAGAATAAGCCGGATTTCTTCCAGGAGAAGATCCTGCGAGGTGACTTTATGGATTAGAGATGAATTCTCGTCTTTCCAAGGGAAGTATATCCTGATCGGTGCTACTGGGCCTCTCGCGTCTTTTTTTCACTCTTTCTGCATTCGATGCCAAAAGCCTCAACAGGCTTATATCAATTCTGGGTTTTCATCATCTCGATGTGTCTTCCCAACCCTTTCCTCTTTCTGCAAATAGGTGGAATATGTATCAAAATGATTCATGAAGGAACATCATCTTTGTCTTTTCTTTTCATATTTGTTTTTCAGCCCTGGGACCGGCGTTTTCATGTTTCTGGGCCTTTTTTTTCCTTACCCATCCTGGAGATGATTGAGATGATTTTATTATGACTACTAAATTGACACCCACTGTTCACTGGTTATTGGACTATGAATTGTATTCTGAAGTCTATACCTCTCTATTCTTTTCAGGATATACATATATGTATATATACTGAACTTCCCTCGTATGTTCGCTACTCCCCAATATCACATAAACTTCTCCCTTCGGTATATATCCCACCACTTCAACCCTTCGTGTCACCCTAAGGTCACTCAAGGTCAATCCTCAGGAGAAATGCGACGAAGGTCCAGTTCCAGCAGCATCATCTGCAGTCTCAGCATGTGAATGTCTAGGCACCTCCGCCGCCTTCTTGCTGGCCGAAGTCCCCTCTTCCTTGTTATACTTCTTGGCAACCTTCCGATCCATAAGCTGATCGGTCGTGAGCCGATTCTCCGGCTCCGGCGGCTTCCACTTACTGCTCTTCCACGGTGGTACACGCATGATATACATCATATCCATCTCCTCAAGCGTCTTATCCTTACCCTCGATGACGAAGAAGTAAACAATAATCACCGCGAAAAACAAACACCCGGCAAACACATATCCATACGCAAAGTCAATATCGCCAGTGATGAACGGCGTGAAGAATCCAATCAGGAAATTCCACAGCCAGTTCGACGCAGTCGCCATCGCCATAGCACGCGCCCGGTACCGCGATGGGTACAGCTCGGCCACAATCGCCCACACCATTGGGCCCCATGTCATGGCAAACCCGGTGATGAACAGACACGCAAATACAACCATCGCTTTGCCCGCTCCAGGTGTGTTCGGCGGGTTCTTCACGTCAAGTGAGAAGTGGCCCACAGACGCAAATACCATGAAGCAGATGAACATCCAGATACCGCCGGCGATCAAAGATTTGCGTCGCCCGAAGTGCTCAATCACGTATAGTCCGCCGAATGTGGTGCCGAAGTTCACTCCGCCTAGGATCATCTGTGTCACGTATGTGTTAGTGATTCCCGCTCCGTCGAAGATCACCGTTCCCTAGAACATATTAGTCCAAGCTCGACGTGTATTAACTTACAATTTCGAAGAAAAAGAAAAAAACTCACGTAGTAGAAGAAGTAGTTGGCACCCGTAAGCTGCTGCAGAGCTTGAAGCACAACACCAAGGATGATGCGATACATCATGCGTGGCGCCTTGAACATTTCAAACCAACCGCGGAGCCCGCCCCGCGCTCCCTTCTCGGCCTCCAGTTGCTCCTGAATCTCGGCAATCTCATGCACGATCACCCGGTGATTCTCGGGTATGCCGTACAGCTTTGACATGGTGCGTCGGGCGCGGTCCACGCGGCCATTCCGGAAGTCGAAGCGAGGGCTCTCCGGGAAGAGGAGGATGCCGATTCCAAGGACGAGACCCCACAAGAACGTGATACCGAGTGGGATTCGCCACGATGCAGTGCTATCCATGCTCTCAGTGCCGTAGTTGATGCAGTTTGCGACGAAGATGCCCAGTGTCACGAATAATTGGTAGGAGCTGGGGGTTGTGTTAGGGCTATTGGTATGTGTTGAAATATTGAAACCTGATTGAAACCTGGAGATGATTCACTTACCACACCATCGCTCCTCGGATATGTCGTGGTGCAATCTCACCCTGGTACATGGGTACCAGTAGTGAGCAGGCTCCTACGCCGAATCCGGTTACGAATCGTCCCATCATGAACTGGTACCATTTTCCTGCTGGCGAGGAGATCTGGATGATCAGTCCGACATGGAGGATGATACACCAGAAGAAGATGGACCATTTTCGGCCAATTCGATCGGTCAATGGTCCGGCGAGGAGAGCTCCTATCAATGTACCGATGGAGAGCTGGAAAGCGTTAGATTTTCATTCACATCCTTTTTTTCGACTTCTCCTTTCAAAGACAAGCAACGATATCCACTCACCAGGGAAACAATCAATCCAGACCGGACATTGTTAAAGTGATATGTCCCATCAGGCTTCAGCTGCGCAAACCGCTGCTTGAAGTTTCTCATCTCCAGAAAGCCCGAGATCTGGCCAGTATCATACCCAAAAATGATACCACCAATCGAGACAAAGGCGCCTAGTAACAGAGACCTCCAAGTCACCCATGGCACATGCGACTCATCCATAGTGCTGCCTCTCTTCTCGCTCTCGCGGTCCGCCACCGCCGACTCCCCCGACAAGTCCGTCAATGGCGGGGACTTGGACTTGCTGAGGAATGGGATTTTCATCCTGGAGATGGGAGACGGGGGATTGGAGGTGTATCTACAATATATAGAAGATGCAGTCTCATGTGTGAAACTAGGCTTCGGGCAGTTAGGATAGGTTCATGGAAGTCCGGAAATCGTGACCAAGGCTGTCTTGCATATTATAAAGGTCTGACCTAGGTTGACTGTCTTTGCATCGTCATATTGCCACTTCCGGAACAGTTCTCGGACCTAGTATGTAGATCGTCATGCATTGAATGTGCCACCTGGTGTTGAAATAGAAGATATTGTTGATACTGTCTTTATGATATTTTTGATTGATGTCCAATTTACATCAGAATTCGTCTACCCCATCCTATTTTACCATGTAGACTATATAACAAAATCACACTATATGTCAGGGGAACCCGGTCCGTATGTCGTGGTGCCGACGAAGTCGTGACGTCAATACTTTTTTTTCATCGAAAAGGAAAAGTCCGACAGCTCTAGAGAGGATCTTTGGATATATGTGGAACTGACTATACCAATGTGGTAGAATGGGAAGTAGAAAGATATCAAAAAAAAAAAATATCAAAATTCTATAAAGCAAATACACTCTCAGTAAGGAATACCGTTCGTCATCAGTTGGAACTGATCATAACCCTTAGTCGACACGCTCATGTACGATTTGCGCACAAGTTCTCGCATGTACTCAGCTGCATCGCGCTCGCTCTTGTCCAACACAAACCGGTCACGGAAATTCTTCAGAGTCTCGGGCTTGAAGCACGGAAGACCACTGTCAAGCATGAGGGAGACAATATGGGCCAGCTTCGTGCTATAAGGGCGGGATGCGAGGAATGCCTTCACCA